TCTCTCTCTCTGTCTCTCTCTCTCTCTCTGTCTCTGTCTCTGTCTCTGTCTCTGTCTCTGTCTCTGGGACAGGGTTTCCTTTTTGTGTAGTCTTGTCTGTCCTGGAACTTGCTCGTGCTCTGTAGACCAGGCTGACCTCAAACTCAGGGATCCGCCTGCCTCTGCCTCCCAGGTGAGTGCTGGGATTAAAGGAGTGTGCTACTACCCTTCCCTAATTAACTTTTTAATATAAATCAATATAGATGTCAACAGGCAGATTGCTTGATTTGAAGGAGTTTGACAGTTAAGCAGGTTGACAGAGGGTGATCATATATAAAAGAAAATGATGATTGCTCAATTGAGAGAGGGCGAAAATGATGGCAGCTCAGTTGATAGGATGCTTGCCCAGCATGCATGAAGCCCTATTTTTTCCTAAGGAAGCACACAATCCAGGCAAGGTGGCACAAGCCTGTAATTCCAGAACTCCTGCAGGTGGACACAGGAAGATCCCAGGTTCAAGAGCACCCTTCTATATAGTAAAATTGAAGCCAGCCAGGGCTACATTAAACCCTACCTCAAAATAAGTATTAAATGGAAAAGATGGTAACAGCATCTCTTGACAGGTACTTGACTAACACTAACATCAAACAATTATGTAATATAGAGGGACTCATATTGCTTTATTTTATACTTGAGATAACCCAAGACTTGATTAAGTTGCTTAAACATTTAATGTCATAGTCACAGTTTGAATTTATTGGCTATACTCTTAGCTATTTATCTCCTGAAGACTAGTTAATATGTGTAAATAAACTGGAACAGTAGGTTGTGCTTTCCTTTTATCAGTCATTACCCAAAATTATTTAGCCATTTTGTACCAGAGTCTGAATTCCAATCCAACTTTCTTTTCTTTTCTTTCTTTTTTTCTTCCTTCCTTCCTTCCTTCCTTCCCCCCCCCCCTTTTTTTGAGACAGGGTCTCTCTCTCTGTTATGCATCTCTGGCTGCCCTGGAAATCTCTATGTAGTCGAGGCTGGTTTTGAGCTCTCAGAGATCCACTAGCCTCTGCCTCCAGTGTTGGGATTAAAGGCGTGTGCCACCATGCCCGGCTCCAAAATTCTCTTAAAATTATGAAACACCAGCCCTCCGTTTTACAGAAACACGCAGGAAGGACATCTAATTCCAGGAATCAGAACTGAGAGGGAGCATGTCAGATGTCTTTTGCAGATAGGACACATAAAGGGATTAGTTGGGGAACGCGAATGTGAGTAGAAAAAGAAAAAAAAGGCCGATAACTAAACAGCAAATACATTATTTATTGTGATCAAATCCTACAACCTGATGACAAATGCCAAGAAATAAAGGTGAGACTGGAGAGACCCCACGCTGCGTATGGTTTTGTACTCTTCAAGAATAGAAGTGTCTCAACAAAACACGCACAGGCACGCACACGCAGTCAACCACAGAGGTTACAAAAAGCTTTCATTCGCCAATGTGCGCAATAAGGAAAGATAACTAAAGGGAGAAAAGGTATTTAGTAGTTTCTAGTACTGAAAGTCCTCGCTCCCTAAAAAGAGTAAGTTAGAGAACTGGATGCTCCGGGGGACAAGAAACGCCGCTTCGCTGCCTGACTTCCGGCGTACTCCGTTGCCAGAGTAACCGGAAGTTACGCTCGGCTCCGCCTCTACAAACCATAGAGTACCGGAAGAAGCCTGAGCAGAGGAGACCCAAGTGGGTAGTACCCGCTCGGCTGTGGCGTTGGTGGCTGCTGAAATGACGACCTTAGTTCTGGATAACGGAGCCTACAACGCCAAAATCGGTTACAGCCATGACAATGTCTCGTAAGTGCCCGTCGTCCCCGAGGGACAGGACCTGAAAGCCTCGTGTCTTCACAGGCTGCGCTTTCCGACTTGAGTGATCCGCAGACGCCCTCGCGCTGCCCCAGCCCGAGCCGAGGGGTGCCCCATTTGGAGCTGGGTTGGTGGGTTTGATATTCTGAACTGAAAGTGATTTTGACTTTCGTTTGGGACTCCGGAAGTGGAATGTATGTTTTGTTTGGTAACAGGAAATAGGTTTCTCGAGATTGAGGGAGCCAAAGATCTCAGAGTTCATGACATTTCAGAAATAGTGGATAGCGTTTTGGGCATACTCGCCTTTGGATAAGCGTAATTGTAGGGTTTCCATCGGATCCCCAAAAGGTTCAGTGCCACCCAACCGCCAAAATTGTAAAACCAACAGCATTAGAATCCAGGGAGTTTGAAGGCTTTGGGGCAATCAATTTGAATGACTTGGTTGGTAAAATCAGGAACACTACAGTGGCATCTCAGCATGTGTTGCATAAAATGTATGTTTGCATAAATAATAGACGTTTCTCGATGCTAGAACTCAAACCCGTGCCTCGCATACTGTACCACAGAGCCACAACCTCAGCTGCGCTGTAGCGCTAGGTGTAATTCAGGATGACCTTAAACTTCAGATCCTCCTGCCTCCACCTCCTGGGTGCTAGGATTACAGCTGAGGGCCACCACTTCAGGCCTTAGTGGGCATTTGACTGAATTCTTTTTTTCTTTCTTTTTTCTAAAGCTAGGTGTTGAACCCTCGTATGGTGAGCAAACACTGATGAAGACATTTATTAAAATAAGGCTTCTATATATGTTGGGTTTTTGTTGGATTGTTTTGGGGGGTTTGTTTTGTTTACAGTGAGAACCAGATACATGGGGCTGGAGAAATGATGGCTCAGTGGTTAAGAGCCCTTTCTGCTCTTCTACAGGACCTACGTTCAGTTCCCAGCACCTACATGGACTCTAACAATTATCTGTAACTCCAGTAGTAGGGGATCCACATCCAGGAAAAATAGCCATACACATAAACAAACAGATGCATGTAAATAGTACACGCATAGAAAGGGATTCTTTTTGTTTTGTTGTGTTTTTAATATGCTAGAGAATGAACCAAGAGCCTAGCAAATTTGAGGCAAGTGCTGTCCTGCTGAAGTACAGCTTCCTCCCCGGTGTATTTCTTTAGTGAGACAAGGTCTCACACGGTAGCCTAGGCTAGCTTCAAACTCATGACAATCCTCCTGTCTCACCCTCCTGGGTGCTGGAGTTATAGGCATGACTCCTGGCTACCTAATACCTTGTTAAGGTAGAAATCAAGACCCACAGCCAGACATTACACAGAGAGTGAGAGAGACCTTGCAACACTCAGCCCTCAATGGGATGTTGCCATCATATCCCTCCCCTTAGAACCCTGTGGAAGAGGAGGTGGAAAAAGTTTAAGAGCCAGAGGGGATGAAGAGAACCAAGAAAACAAGGCCCACTAAATCAGCATGAGCAAAACTCATGAACTCATAGAGACCAAGGCAGCATGCCCAGTGACTGCACAGGTCTGTGCCAGGTCCTCTGTATTCATATTATGGCTTCCAGTTTAGGGTTTTTATGGGACTTGTGAGTGTATGAATAAATTAGTCTCTGATTCTTGTGTCTTCTCGTAGGCTCTTTTCCTTCTGTTGGTTTGTCTTCTTGTCCAATTCAATGTGATAGTTTTTGTTTTTATCTTACTGTATAATAAAGAAATTGAGATATGGCTATAAATTGTGCTTTCTTCCTGAAAATGTTCATCAGTGTATATCATTGTGCATATACTTTGACAATAATTTTCTTAGCATTTCAGGAATTATTTAGAGATACTAAAGAAGAGTAAGTACAGCAATGTTAAGCTTTATTTATAGACACTTGTACAGTTAGCAAAATAAAGTGTACACAAGGAAGCAAGCTAAATAGTCAAGTATAGCAAATTGGCTAAGAATATTAGAATGCAACCATGAAGTTGGCAGCAGAGCAGCTTCTTTTAGTTGTGGGTTAGGGTCAAACCTAGGTCTTCAAACATGTGCTTAACAACTGAGTCACAGGGGTTTCTTCTAAGAGACAGTATCTCACTGTGTTGTACAGGACAGTTTACAGCTCCTGGTTCCAGTGATGGTCTTGCCTCTGGTGCCTCTGGGATGACAGGCAATATAACCCTGAACCCAACCCATGCTGATCTTAAAAGTATGCCTTCCAAGAACATTTAAACAGGGAGAAAAACGTTGATAATAATAAGGGTGTGTATGAGTGTGTGCATAGCTATACGATACTGGGCTGGGATTTGTCTTCCTATCTAGAGTATGGGCTCATGGAGGTTGTGTGTATCTGGCAGCATGGAGAATGCCTTTAATCCCAGCACTGGGGTGGCAGCTTGAGGCTGGTTTGGTCTACGTATCAAGTTCCAGGCAGCATAGAGTTCTAGTTGGGAGACTGTGAGACTCTGCCATACAAAAGAAAACAAAAGCAAACAATTTTAAATAGTTCTTAATTTTTTTTTGTGGTTTTCCAGGACAGGGTTTCTCTGTGTTGCCCTGGCTGTACTGGAACTCGCTCTGTAGATCAGGCTGGTCTCAAACTCACAGAGATCCACCTGCCTCTGCCTCCCGAGTGCTGGGATTAAAGGCGTGCACCACCATCACCACCACCACCACCACCACCAAAACCACCACACCACCACCACCTCCTCCTCCTCCTCCTGGCTGAATCTGGTAGTCTTTTAACACATAGGTGATGACTAAGAACTAGTGCTTAGTAAATATTTGCAAGATAATTCTTTATTTCTTTGCTTCTAGGGTTATTCCCAATTGTCAGTTCAGATCAAAAACAGCACGTCTTAAAACATTTACTGCTAACCAGATTGATGAAATAAAAGACCCTTCAGGACTCTTTTACATTCTTCCTTTTCAAAAGGTAATGCAATCATGTTTGATTTCTGATGTTATAAACCTATAACTGTGTGTGGGTGGATAGGGTCAGAGTACAGCTTTATGAAGTTCTCACTTTCTACCATGTTGAAGCAGGTCCCATTGCTGCTGTTGTGCTGTGTACTCTAGGCTAGCTGACCCTGAAGCTTCCGAGGGACTCTCCTGTTTACCCCTCCCATCTCTGCAGTAGGGATGCTAGGAATAAACCTGTGTGAGCCATTGCAGGTTCTGGGGATCAGACTTGCTATTTTTAATCTTGCGTATGTATGTGCAAGTAAGGCAGTTGCTGTCTGCAGTCAGAGGTGTCAGTGTCCCTGGGGCTGGAGCTACAGGCTCTAAAAAAGTTTGTTTCAATTTTAATTAAGATCTAATTAAAATGACAAATTGAAATTAAATTGTTTTAGTAAAGATAACCATAACTTAGTTATTCATTACAAGACTTTTTATTTATATTAAATTTTACTTGTATTAAAACAGATGGTATTCACACCTATATATTGGTGTGCTGTTTGAACCATTGACATCTTAGTTATTGTTCATCATAAGCTTTTGAATATTTACAAGGAGAGCACCGCCTTTGAAACTAATTGACACTCACATGGCATTAGGTAGGAAAAGATGACCACTCAGAGCTAGAGCTCAGAGATTTAGAGCATGTTAATCTGATTCCTTTTTAAGTTTATGTGGGGGGTATGTGTTATGAGCAGGACGTCATGCCATCCCAGAGCTTGCATGTGGCAGTCAGAGGACAGACAGCCTTCTAGAGTTGGTTCTCCTCTTTTGTATCTGTGTCAGTTCTGGAGATGGAACTTGGGTCCCCTGGCTTGTGAGGCAATCTCGTTTACTCCCTGAGCCATTGCCTTTAACCTTATGTTTAAAAAAATCATTAAAATATTCTTGATAATTTAATGGTTTTGTTGTGTTTATTTTTAATTTTAGGGCTACTTGGTGAATTGGGATGTTCAACGACAAGTTTGGGATTATCTTTTTGGAAAAGAGATGTATCAGGTAACAAGTTAGAGTATGTATTAAAATTCTATTTCTGTATCTTAATTCAGATGAAAAATCAGTATTTACATTTATAAACTTCTATGTTAACATTTATAAACTTATAATTATATGCATTTAAGGCACCTGGATATAGATTTTATTTATTTATTTAATTTTGGAGGCAGGGTCTTACTATGTAGCCCTGACTGGGCTGGAACTTGCTATGGAGAACTGACTAGTCTCAAACTCTTTCTTCTGAGTGCTGATTTTTTGTTTTTTGTTTTTTTCAAGACAGGGTTTCTCTGTAGCTTTGGAGCCTGTCCTGGAACTTGCTCAGTAGACCATGCTGACCTCAAACTCAAGGAGATCTGCCTGCCTCTGCCTCCCAAGTGTTGGCTTGAGTACTGTTTTTTTTTTTTTTTCAAGGCATGTACCACCACATCTAGTATGATGTTCTAAATATTTAGAAAATATAAATAACTAAAACCTACAGGTTGAAGAGTAAGTGGACTGCAGATAACCTATGAGAAGCTCAATAATGAATTTTTACTGTTTCTACTCTCCTCTCCCTAAGCTGGGAATCCATCCTGTGACATTTTTTTATGTTAAGTGATCCCTTGCCTGATATCTCAACTATGTCAGACATACACCATACCTTTTTTTTTTCTCAAAAAGATAGTGATTGCCTACACATATGAATATATGGCAGTTACAAGAATTTTTATGTTTTTATTTATTTGTGTTGTGTGTGTGTGAGCATATGCCACATGTGTGCATGTGCCCACAGAGGCCATGGAAAGTACTGGATCCTTTGGAGCTGGATGGTTGTGAGCTGTGATGCTGAGAACTGAACTCCAGTCCTTTGGAAGAGCAACAAGAGCTCTTAATCACTGCTCCATCTCTCCAGTCCCTGAGAATGTCATGATTCTTTTCTTTAGATTTCTTTATCTAACTTTGCATATATGGGCGTTTCAACTACATATATGTCTATGCACCATAGGCCTGTACTACCCATAGAGAATAAAGAGAACATCAGATCCCCTGGCTGGGATTCGAACCTGAGTTCTCTGGAAGAGCAGTCACTGCTCTTAACTGCTGAGTCATCTTTCTAGCCCTGGTTTTATGTTTTTAACAATATAACAGTAGACCAGCCAAGAGGATACTCAAGTTTTAATCTACCCTAAGAATATGATGTTGGGAGGCAGAGGCAGGTGGATCTCTGTGAGTTCGAGACCAGCCAGGTCTACAAGAGCTAGTTCCGGGTCAGCCTCCCACAGAGAACTACCCTGTCTCAGGAAAAAGAAAGAAAGAAAGAAAGAAAGAAAAAAAGAAAGAAAGAAAGAAAGAAAGAAAAAAAGAATATGATGTTGAAAGGATAAAAAGCCCAAGGGAAAAAATCAAACTGAAATGCCTAGTTGCCAGGAAGCTGCACCACAGTCTCCATTACTCAGGCTTGCACTGAAGACAAAGGAGCCCTAGCTAAGCTTGTGGACATTTATAAGAGCAGCATCATTGGGGAGGCTGTATCCTGGGTCCAGAACCTGAGCTTTGAATTGCCAGTATGGAAAAGGCAAAGGATAAGAGACCAAACATGGCTTCATGAATCCTGTCGAGTTTTCTGCAGAAGGTCTCTGGAAACTTCTTGCTTTTTTCTGTGACTAACAAAGTAGCAGTATTTCCACTACTTGGATTACATCAGCCTTTACTTTTGTCTTTAAGAGTTTGACACTTTGACAGTCCTGTGTTAGTTTTTTATTTTATTGAGGTAAGATTGCAACTAGACTCTTCAGTTCAAATATTAGCTCTAGCCCTAAGTGGCTATATGAACCTGGGTAACATATTCAGTTTTTCTGTGACTCAGTTCATGTATTAAATGAGGATTATAGTCAATATTATTATTATGAGGACTTTATAATTTTGTTTATTATATACTCACACATACACACACACATATATACACACATACTATATAGATATAAGACAAATTTTATGATGATCATGTAGGTTATAAAACTTTTGGAACTTTTTTTTCTCCCATAGGTTGATTTTTTAGATACTAATATTATTATAACAGAGCCATATTTTAACTTCACTTCAATTCAAGAGTCAATGAATGAAATTCTATTTGAAGAATACCAGTTCCAAGCAGTGTTAAGAGTAAATGGTAAGTTAAGAAGTTCTATTGAAATTAAGTTATGAGTGTGGTTATGAATGGGATAAAACTGTAGGTGACAGCTTTTATTTCTGAAGGAAATAAAACAGAATTTTTATTTTAAGCAAAGAACTTTAGTTTGGCCTAGTGGCACAGGCCTATAATTCTGGCAGTTTGGGAGGGTGGGACAGGAGGACTAAGAATTCACAGTTTGCCTGAACTACAGACTGAGTTTAAGGCCAAACTAAGCAACTGAGTGATAGTCTACCATAAAGTAAAAGAGGCCAAGTAGTGGGTTCCAGGTCTACCTAAACTATAGTTAGATTTCCCTTGTTTCCCTCCTTCAGAACAAAGCCAGCAGTGACAAAATAAAAGGTGGCATTCTTTTCTATTTACCATATAAGTGTGACTTTTAAAAGTTTAAACAGTGACATTTTAAGATAGTTATAAAGGGACTAGAGAGAGGGCTCAGTGGTTAAGAGTGCCTGCAGCTCTTACCAAAGACCCAGTTTGCTTCACAGGACCTAAGTTAGGCAACTACCACCGCTTGTAACTCCAGTGCTTTAGCCTCTGCAGACACCTGCACTCACATACACTCAGACACAATCACATACAAGTAATTAAAAATACAATCCAAGCCCAGTGGTGGTGGTGGTGGTGGTGGTAGTGGTGGTGCACAACTTTAATCCCAGCACTGGGGAGGCAGAGGGAGGTGGCTCTACACATGCGAGTTCCAGGACAGCCAGGGATCCACAGAGAAACCCTGCTACAAAAAATCTAAATAAGTAAATACACAAAACCAACCAACAAAATAAATAAATCCTAGAAAGACAGACTTATAAGTACTATTATGAGTTAACAATTTTCTTAAAAATTAGAGACTTTTTTGTTGTTTATTTGTGTGGTTTTGTTGTTGTGTTTTGTTTTGAGACAAGGTCTCTCTATATGGTCCTTTCTGCCCTAGAACTCTGCATCCTGTTTGCTGGGACTAAAGACTTTCACCACTACTTGGCTTAAAGGCAGCTTTTTGTTGCTGTTTGTGTTTGCCTTAGTTTGCTGCTTTTCTTTATTATTTTAAAGTAATAGTATATTTTAACGTGTTCACTTTTTTCTTCGCCCTTTTAATAGCCGGTGCTCTCAGTGCACACAGATATTTCCGAGATAATCCTTCTGAGTTATGCTGCATCATTGTAGATAGTGGCTATTCCTTCACACACATAGTTCCTTACTGTAGGAGTAAAAAGAAAAAAGAAGCGATTATTCGGTGAGCTACGTGTAGTTTTTATTTTATATCTCATCTTATGTCAATTTCATATTCATAGGATGAAACCTGTGATAACTGAGTAAAGTTTAATTCTGTCCTTTTAGGATAAATGTGGGTGGAAAACTCTTAACGAACCATCTAAAAGAGATCATATCCTACAGGTAATCATTGGCTTTGAACTTGGGGAGGAAGTGGTACCAGACACCCAGCTAGAGGTCGGCTTCTCTTTTCTTTTTTCTTGTCTCTGTCTCTGTCTCTGTCTCTGTCTCTCTCTCTCTCTCTCTCTCTCTCTCTCTCTCAGTTTTGGTTTTGCTTTTTTCGAGACAGTGTTTCTCTGTGTAGCTTTGGAGGTTGCCTGTAACTCGCTCTATAATCAGGCTGGCCTTGAACTCACAGAGATCTGCCTGCCTCTGCCTCCCAAGTGCTGGGATTAAAGGCGTGTGCCACCACCCTGCTGCTATAATTTTTCTTAATTATCCAGTTTATGTTACTTTTGTTCTGGTTAAACCTGTCTTCCCTTACTTAAATATAAGTCCAAAAGCTCAAAGGTCATGAACAGCATTCACAATATTTTGATTATGTAAATGTTATGTACTACTGAACCAAGTCAGCTGAGCTTGATTTCAGAATGTTGTGATATTTAATCCCCTTCCCCAGTCAGATGAGGAGAAGCAATTGGAAAGGAGGAAAAGGTTAAGACAAAGGAAGATTTAAGATGACAAGGGTGGGCACTGCTGCACATACCTATAATCCCAGCACTTGGCCAGCAGGAGAATCAAGAGTTCAGTATTAGCCTGGGCAACATAGTGAGTTTATTGGCTCTCCTTGGGCTACATCTTGAGACCCTGTCTCAACTCCATCCTCCACAAAAGACTTTAAAAATGCACACACAGGAAAATATTTGAAACAAAAGTAACAAAGTATGTATTTTCCTTACTGTATTTGCATAAGTGAGGTATGCAAATCATTAGTATGATGCAGTACATGTAAAAGTGACCAGAAAGTGGTTGAACCAGAACAGGGTAAGGTTCTTTTGAAATCTATTTTGGGCTGGCAGGATAAGATGGCTCGAGTGGTAAAGGTGCTTGCCTGAAAGTCTGAGAACCTGAGTTTGGTCACCAGGACCAAATGATGGAAGAAGAAAACTGACTTCACAGAGTTGGCCTCTGACACCCAAGCCCTGGCACACCTGGGTGTGTCTGCTGGTATACACACATAATTAATAAATAGAAATAAATTTTAAAGCTAATGTTATTAAGTTTTTAAATACATATAGAGTACTTATACATAATTAATGGGCAGACTGTTATTTTGATACGTGTATATGACACACATATACACATGCACACACATACATAAAATTAGGATAGTTAGGACATCTCCTCAGACATTGTTTCACTGGACAGGGAATTTTTTAAATTCTACCATTTTGAATAATGGAAATATTTGAACCATAGTTATCCTATTGTTCTAGAGCATTAGAAATTATTCCCCCTGCCCAGGCACTCTACCATTAACTGTCTTTACTCCACCTCCTACATACCCTTCCCAGGCTCTAATAGCCACTCTCAGAATAGGTGTTTTGTTTCTAATTTATTATTTGTGTGTGTGTGTGTGTGTGTGTGTGTGTGTGTGTGAGAGAGAGAGAGAGAGAGAGAGAGAGAGAGAGAGAGAGAGAGAGAGAGGTGTCAAGGGACAGTTTGCCTCTCCTAGCGTTATGTGTGCTCTCAAATTGATCTCAGGCTCTCTAGGGTTTGCACAGCAAGCCTCTTTATTCACTCACAGAGCCATCTCATTAGTCCTCAGGATAGTTGATGGCTTTTAAGTTTAGAAAAGGTTTAATCCTCATATATAGGCAAAGGCTTTAGAAATACAAGGACTGAGCTAGCCATGAATCTTAGAAACAAATTGAAACATATGCACTACATTGTATTGGTCAGCTTTGAGTTGGTGTAACAAAATATGCAAGATAATCAGGGGAGGTTCATTTTGTCTTCAGTTCCCAGAGGTTGGCTCCTTGGTAGCTTGGCCAGTGGCAACAGAATAATGTAGCTGGGCATGGTGGCACATGCACCCTGGAGGCAGGAGCAGGTAGAACTCTGTGAATTCAAGCCAGCCTGTTCTGCACAGTCATTTCTAGGACAGTAAGAGCTATGTAATGAGACTCTGTCTGAAAACAAACAAAAATGAATAACAGGAAAACGTTTGTGAGAATATATTTATTTGAAAATATAAAATAAACACATAGCATATAATAAAATCTGTACAAAGACAAATATTCACAGGAAATTATCTCATTAAAAAAAATTCGAAGCCAGTCAGTGGTGGCACACATCTTTAATCCCAGCATGTGGGAGGCAGAGGCAGGCATCTCTGTGAGTTCAAGTCCAGCCTGGTCTACAGAGTGAGTTCCAGGACAGCCAGAGCTACACAGAGAAACCCTTTTTCAAAAACAAACAAAATCCCATTTTCTGTGTTTTCTTTGATTTACTCATCAGATCATCTATATTGTGTACTGTACTGATTCATAATACTTCATAATCAGAAAAGATGATGTTAAGAGTGAGGACATTCTAGTGAGAGTCAGTTCAGAGTGACTGAGGAACAGTTCACTCTGTGGTCAGATAAGACCACCTAACACCCATTCTGAGTTTCCTTCTCTGTAGCTGAACTAACACTTGCCCTTTAAAGAAAGATTTACAGATGGAATATCATAATCAAATTGAGATTTTTTTTGTAAGGTTAAGATTTGTTTTATACATTCAAGAGTTTAATATTTCAAATGGGGCTTGGTAGCCTACTTCTGTAATGCTAACACTCAAAAGTCTGAGGCAGGGTGATTTCCATGAGTTCATGGCCAGCCTGGGCCAAATAGTTAGTTCTGTATTGTACTGGCTGTTTTTTGTGTCAACTTGACACAAGTTAGAGAGGAAGGAGCCTCAGTTAAGAAATACCTCCATGAGGTCCAGCTGTAAGGCATTTTCTCATTTAGTGATCAGTTGGGGAGAGCCTAGCCCATAGAAGATGGTGCCATCTGGGCTGCTGGTCCTCAGTTCTATAAAAAGATGGGTTCAGTAAGTCAGGGGTAGCAAGCTAATAAGCAGCACCCCTCCATGGCCTCTGCATCAGCTCCTGTCATCAGGTTCCTGTCATGTTTGAGTTTCTGTCCTGACTTCCTTGAGTGATAAACAGCAATGCTGAAGTGCAAACTAAATAAACTGTTTCCTTCCCAACTTGCTTTCTGGTCATGGTGTTTTCATCACAGCAATAGAAACCGAAACTAAAACTGTTTGGACACCTACACACATACACCAAAAAAAGTAGTACTTTAATGTTTCTTAAAAACACCATTAAATATTAATTCTAGACGTGGGTCTCTCTCTGTGTGTTTGTATGGGTGTGTGTGTGTGTGTGTGTGTGTGTGTGTGTGTGTTTATTGGCCTTAGAAAGATAAGGTGGGTGCTGGAGAGGTGGCTCAGTGGTTAAGAGCACTGGCTGCTCTTCCAAGGGCCCCTGGTTTGGTTCCCAGCACCCACATGTAGGCTAAAAACTGTTCATTACTATAGTTGCAGCACCCTTCTCTAGCCTCTATGGACACTGCACATGAGTTTACAAACATACACACCAGCAAAATGCATAATGAATAGAATAAAAAAATAAAGCTTTAAAAGGAATTTAAATGGTATATTTAAGTAATGTTCAGTTGCTTCTCATTTCAAATTCTGTCTATTTATAAATTGCATTTATTTTGTTTGGGGCCATGGTTGGTATATATGCATGTGGATGCCTGCATAAAGACCAGTTGACAGCTTGTGGGAGTCCATTCTCTCCTTCCACCTTGTGGGTCCCAGGGATCAAACTCCTCAAGCTTGGAGTTGGGTGTCCTAACATGTGGAAACCCCTTGCCAGACCTCACATTGTACACATTTTTGTCTGTTAGGCAGCTGCATGTTATGGATGAAACTCATGTGATGAATCAAGTGAAAGAAGATGTGTGCTATGTGTCTCAGGACTTCTACAGGGACATGGAGATAGCAAAGTATGTATGATGGTCATTGGCATTTGGCAAGTGGATTTTCAGGTGCTATTCTCAGTTGCAAATTTTGTAAATATCCTTTTTCAGATTAAAAGGAGAAGATAATACAGTGATGATTGACTACGTTTTGCCCGACTTCAGTACAATTAAAAAGGGCTTTTGTAAGGTAACTTTTAAATTTCTTTTTTGTTTCATATTTTTATTTGATGCATATGGCTATTTTGCTTGAGTGTATGTCTGCATTGCACTCATGAGCAGTGCTCACAGAGGCCAAAAGGTGGTCACATTATCTGGAACTATAGTTATAGACGGTTGTGAGCCACTATGTGGATAGGTGCTGGGAATTGAACCTGGGTCCTCTGAAAGAGCAGCCAGTTCTCTTCACTGCTAAGCTATCTTTCCAGCCCCTAAAAGGTAAGTGAAAACAAAATCCTCTACAATATCTTATCAAGTGACAACCTTAGCCATATTTGGTAAGTATTAACATCTGGCTGGGTTGACAGGGTCTTACAGTGACTGCCTTAAAGGCAGTCCTTTTGTAGCCGTTTCTTTAGGCACACGTAGGTGAATTTAATTAATGAGTCTCTTACTGAATTTATTTAGGAAAAATATTAGTCAAATGATAGCATATGTGGTGATATTTTGTTTATGATCTAACAAAGCTTTCCTGAAGATCAGAGTGCAGAGCTAGCCACACTAGTCAGTCGTAGAGGCCAGGCTGTGGTGGCACACACCTTTAGTCCCAGCAGCCACACTAGTCAGCCATACAGGCCAGGCTGTGGTGGTACATACCTTTAGTCCCACAAAGTCGTCATTTGGAGCAGGGCCTAGACCCTCCCCTATGTGTCTAGGCTGAGAGAGTATCCCTTTATGTGGAATAGGTTCCCAAAGTCCATTCATGTATTAGGGATAAATGCTGATCCACTACCAGAGGCCCCATAGATTAACCAGACCTCCAAACTGACATCCTCGTTCAGGGGGTCTGGAACAGTCTTATGCTGGTTTTCCAGCTATCACTGTGGGGTCCACAAGCAACCCCTTCCTTGTTCAGGTCAGCTGTTTCCCTGGGTTTCTCCAGCCTGGTCTTGACCCCTTTGCTCATCACTCCTCCCTCTCTGCAACTGGATTGCAGAGTTCAGCTCAGTGTTTAGCTGTGGGTGACAAGCTCCCCTTTCAGTCTGAGCATTGGTAGAGGTGAGAACGCTCTAGTGGCTGGCCACTTTGCTTCCCTGATCTTCAGCTTTAACCTCAATGTCTGTCTCTGGGTTTTTATTATTAATACCATTGAGAATTTGTGCTACATCCATATGTGACAAATGTTATTTTAAGTAATATTGTTTAAGAATTGTTTTGAGCCTGGTCGTGGCGCACACCTTTAATCCCAGTACTGTGAGGTAGAGGCAGGTCTTGGGAAGTTAAAAACTTCTACTAAGAAATGTACAGAGATATGATAATATTCATTTAGAATAGTGGGAACTTGGCAACAGCCTAAGTAATTTAAGGAAGATAATTTTAATATACTTTTGTAATAAATAATGATGAAAACAAAGTAGAACTACATGATTACCATGGATCCGCCCAAACTGTAATATTTAATAAGAAGCAGTCTATAGACGGGTATGCATACCTTCAGTCTATGTAGAATGCAACAAAACTAACCTAGTTTTGCATAGTTTCAAAAGACTGTGAATGTTGAACATCAGGTTTAAAAAGGAATGATAATGTATTTGTAAACTTGCATCAAGCTACTTAATGGGTATTTGTAGCTTATGTAAGTACTTGTACTTAGCATGCCTGAAATTTTTCTTTCCATAACACAGAAGTGAAATACAGATTAAAATTCACGAAGGAAAATTGTCCCAAACATTTAGACTATGGCAGCTCTCTCATTAGACACACTTGATCATCTACATGTTTTTATATCTAATTATAATCACAATCCAATGATGAAAGAGATGCTTTGGAGAACATAAGACACAGTGGCAAAGTTGTCTGTTCTTGCAGAGATGGGCCTGCGTAAGGTCACAGTGATTTCTAGTTTCTCCCAACCTGACAGATCACTGGAATCATGAGGGCATTAAAAATCTCTATGGTCGGGGCTGGAGAGATGGCTCAACGGTTAAGAGCACCGACTGATCTTCTAGAGGTCCTGAGTTCAATTCCCAGCAACCACATGCTGGATCTGGTGCCCTTTTCTGGTGTGCAGATATACATGGAAGCAGAATGTCGTATAGAAATAAACAAATAAAATCTTAAAAAAAAAATCTCTATGGTTTTGGCTGGCCAAGTTGGTTCAGTGATTGAGAGCATACACTGCTCTTCCAGAGGACCTGAGTTTGATTCCCAGCATATGTTAGGTGATTCACAACCACCTGTAACTCCAGTTTCAGGGAATCTGAGGCCTCTGGCCTCCTTAAACACCTGTAACTATGTGCATAGTCCCCCAACACACATATACATATAATTAAGAAGTAAATAAATATAAGATCTGTTTGGTTTCTCTTCTTCATCCTAGGAGCTTTTAGTTCTTAAGTCAGAGAACTTTTCTGGATAATGGACAACTAGGAAAAAATCTTTCTCTTTTTTAGAACTTTTCTCAGGGCTGGAGAGATGGCTTGGTGCTTCAGAACACTAGCTGGTCTTCCAGAGGGCCTGCAGTTAACCACATGAGGGCTCACAACCATCTGTAATGAGATCTGGTGCCCTCTGCTGGCCTGCAGGGATACATGCAGACAGAATACTGTATACATAATAAATAAATGAATCTTAATTTAAAAAATATTATCTCCTGCCCTGTGAGTGACATGCCAGTAGATTATCAGATATCATCTCAGCTCTGTCAGTTTCTTCCTGAACCAGCACCTGATTGGTGGGCCTGTACTGTTGAGGTTGCTCTTACAGTTTTGTATAGTATTTTGCGATTGTTTGCAGGTTTTTGTTGACCCATGCATGTCCTTGTGAACAGAGTCTTGCACTTTTTTAACTCTGTATCGACTTCTTTGCTGTGACCTGTATGGCTTGGTGCCTTGACCTGAGTGGGGGTGGCAAAGGAGTGAAGAATGTACAGATATCTAGCCAGGGTCAGTTGGGCTGTGTACATTCTAATGGAGTGGCACCAACTCCAACAGCAATCTGGAACCTCAGTCTGTTTATTACTGCACAGCCAGGAGGAGATAGTGAGTGTCGGTGGGAGGTGTCAGTTACAGTGGTCTCTGGCTGTAAACATTGGTGGGGAGGAAGGTGTAGTTGCTAGTTTTTGCACACTGGTCAGCCGATAGAAAGATAGAAACATTCCTCTGAGACCAGAGGAAGGCTTTGCCATTCCAACCCTGACCCCTGTGTTGGAGGCTTTGCCACTCCATCCCTGACCCTTATGGGGTAAGGCTTTGCCACTCCAACTCTGACCCTTATGGGGGAAGGCTTTGCCAGTTCCCATGTGTTGAGGCATTGATACTTGATTGACTGTGTCATGTTCACAGTATACACTCACTCAAGCCTTTTTACATTCTAGGGGTTCCTAGGCCCCCATACTAATTGTTGATTTTCTTATGTAATGTACACATTATCAGATGAGAACATAAAGTTAGTTGACTTGGGCTCCTGCTATACAATAGTATTTTTTACAATAGTATTTTTTTAATGAATGGTTTACTCAGCCGGGCAGTGGTAGTGCACGCCTTTAATCTCAGCACTCGGGAGGCAGAGGCAGGCGAATCTCTGTGAGTTTGAGACCAGCCTGGTCTACAAGAGTTCCAGGACAGCCTCCAAAGCCACAGAGAAACCCTGTCTCAGAAAAAAAGAAAAAAAAAAAGAATGGTTTACTCTTTGTTGATTAATGTTAAAGTTTATACCCTATATACAGCCATGTTTAGTCATTTATATAAAAGTTATTGTGTATAAGTAAGTTCAATTATAAAATTTGAGTTTCTTTAGTACTTTATTGTTTGTTTCATGCTAGGAAAACAAAATTCTGACATTAGAGAAACATTGTTGCATGAAATTCGGAAAATGGTTTTGAGCCTTCATACTTAGTGTCTTTTTGTTGTTGTTTTGTTTTGTTTTGTTCCAGACAGGGTTTCTCTGTGTAGCTTTGGAGCCTATCCTGGCACTTGCTCTGGAGACCAGGCTGGCCTTGAACTCACAGAGATCTGCCTGCCTCTGCCTCCGGAGTGACCACAGCAGCTCTTATAAAGAAAACATTTCATTGGGACTGGCTTACAGTTCAGAGGTTTAGTCTATTATCATGGCAGTAAGCATTGAGTCATGCAAGCAGACATGGTGCTGGAAAAGGTGCTGAGAGTTCTCCATCTGTATCTGCAGGCACCTGCAAGAGAGAGAGAGAGAGACTGGTCCTGACATGAGCATTTGAAACCTCAAAGTCCACCCCCAGTGACCAACTTCTTTCAACAAGGCTACACCTCCCAATAGTGCCACTCTCTGGTGACAAAGCATTCAAATCTATGAATCTATGGGGGCTGTTCCTATTTAAACCATCAAAGTTAGGATATTGTCAATTAGAACTGGGATGTAGTCAAGAATGTTTGGGAAACCTGAAGCTTTGATTTTTCTCCTGCTTGATAGAAGGAAGGATAACAACACATTGACCTATAACGTCAATAATATCAATGACAAACAACAGAAATTCTAATTTCATCTCTTCTCAGAAATAGGATGCCTGCTAAAGTGTAAACTGTCAGACCTACATTGAGAACATCCCTTTAGCATTAGTGATTACCACTTTCTGCTTTAATGGTACTAGAAATAAATGTATGAGCACCATCTAGTAAATCATGAGTTTTGCTGACCAGTTCTCCACAGCCTTCATTTGTCTGTGTCAGAAAAAAATGTTTTGAATTGTATTCTTAAACAGAAACTACTTGTATTTCCAGAAAACACATGAATGACTAGTGGCCTTGGTGCCGACATTCAGCAAGGACACTTGAGTACTGGCTCTTTTCCCAGGTTAGCTGTTTGGTCCAGTCGGCCTGATCCTCTTCTGAGATCAGGGCTTTAAACAAGCTAAACACCTTTCATGTCCTCCAGTCTATGTTGGTCTCGGGTAGTTTTCCAGTGTTGACAAAATGAGTTTTCCTTAAACTGAATCTACTGTGTGTATATGTTCCCCTGCTTCAACCTCCCAAGTACTGGGATTGCAGGTGTATGCACCATACCAGACTTAATGTTACCTGTGAGTTAATTTGTAAATTCATAAAGAGTATTTTCCATTCTACTTAAGACAAAATGATGATTCTTCTATGGAGAGTGATACTATTTTTCTTTTTTTCTTTTTAAAGATTTTATTTATTTATTATGTATACACTCTTCTGCCTGCATGCCAGCAGAGGGCACCAGATCTCATTCAAAGGTGGTTGTGGGCCACCATGTGGTTGCCGGGAATTGAACACAGAACCTCTGGAAGAGCAGTCAATGCTCTTAACCTCTGAGCCATCTCTCCAGCCCGATACTATTTTTCTTACTACACCAATTATTTAATTGGGTTAGAAGTGGTTTATATTTATAGTTTCCTAGAAATGTTGTGTAATCTGGAAAGTTTTGTCTAAAATTTATGTTATGAGCAGAGTGTTCCCAGATGTTTGCAAGGTGACTCATTCATATGCAGGTTATGATGTAAGGGAATATTTCTGGTATGCTTTGGGCTGGTATGTCAGAATGTGAAGAAGTCACATGATGTTCCTGAGCCTAATTATATCATGAATGAAATGACAGTGTGAAACTTGTAGAACAATACACATAAAATGTCTAATACAGTTAATGGCATGTGTTATGTTGCATGTCATTGTCGAGGAATTTATTGAATAGCCATCATATACTAGGTAATGTATGCTATACTAGGTAGTGGCTATTTGATGAGCACTATAGGTTGGGAGTACCACATATGTACATATGTAGTAAGGAAATATGTACGTACACACATACACATATGTCTATATGCACACAAATATTTGTTAAAATGTTTATATATTACTCATTAATAATACATAATTATCATGTTAAATATGTTTATACTTATATAATATACTGTTGTGGTGGAAAACTGGATCTGTCACCTGGATGAAGTGAGTGACTATAGCTGAATCTATGAAAGAATGGATGACTCTAAAGTTGAACAGGACTGCCATTTTAATGACAAGGATGTTGAGGACGGAGACCCTTTCTTCTAGCCCCTTCATGATCACAGCTCACTGAGGGGTAGACTAGAACATGAAGAAGAGAATGGACCTAGTTCATGTAAAGCTTGCATTTGCTGTGTAGACCCAATACAAGTTGTCATTATAGGGAACATTTCAGTGATGAAAGGAGGGTCTGCCTAGTTATTTGGAAATGGATTGATCTGTTACTAGTTGAGAATTTCATACATGCATATAATGCATTTTCAAATCTCCCCCCTTTCTTTCCTCTCCTATTCCTGACTGTCCTCACTGCCACTTTTCCTTCCCAACAAAGTATGTTCTTTATTTTTTTAGCCCACTGAGTCTCCTCTGTGCTGTCCATGTGTGCACAGGCATAGGATCATCTATGGGAGCACGGTTAGCCACATGTCCAACAAACATGTAAAGAAAGAATGAACTACATAGGGGCAGGAACACAGCAGAGTGACTGCTGTTCTGCATGGGACTCACACACTGTTATGGGTCAACTATAGCTTCCACGCCTATGTTCTCCTTTCCTTTCTTTTAAAAACATATGGAGTAAAGCTGGTAGATTGTCTGCAGGATTGGATGGCCACAGTAGCATTGATTTTTTTTTTTGAGGCAGCCCCCCACCCCCCCGACCTTGCATCACTATCTTGGAACTCATTATGTAGCCCAGGCTGGCCTCAAACTCACAGAGATCCTCCTGTCGCTCTGCCTCTTGAGCTAATTTTATTTGTATACTATGGCAACAGGACAGAAAACATTTTACTAACTTTTGAGACTTCTAATAAGAACATGGCTACTCTATTATATTTACATATTTCTAATTACCATTTGTCATGTGAACAGGATGCTGTGTAGTTCATACTCTTCATCTTCCTTTGCTTTAAGCCGAGAGAAGAGATGGTGCTGAGCGGGAAGTATAAGTCTGGGGAACAGATTCTTCGCCTTGCCAACGAGAGGTTTGCTGTTCCAGAGATCCTCTTTAACCCTTCTGACATTGGAATTCAGGAGATGGGGATCCCGGAAGCTATCGTCTATTCAATTCAAAACCTACCTGAAGGTACATTAATGATTAGAGTTAAATGCTGAAAAGAAATAGTTTTGAAAAATCATAATTATAGTACTGTTTCTTAGGTAATTTCGAACAATGACACCTGTATTATTGGTAGAAATTTCCAGATACTATAATTCACTTAAATAATTCTAGTTGATTTGTTCTGGGTCATAAATTGTATTTTGCAAAAGTCATTATGATCTTTTTAAGCATGAATATATCTTTCCTTAAGTATTAAATTGCTCTATTCATTTTAGAAAAGTATGTTGTTTTTATTATTGAGGCATAGTCATCTTATGTAGTTCAGACTGGCCTAGAACTCATGACCTCCCTGGTTCAGGATTCTGAATGTTAAATTTATAGTCATGAACTTCAAGGCTCAACTGAAAGTTTTAATCCATATTTTCACAGAATTGAAATGTAGAGTGATGTGGGGTGTTTTCTGTATGCTGCAAATATGTGTTGCTTTTAGTGGTTGATGAATAAAGCTGATTTGGCCAATGGCCAAGCAGAATAGAGCCAGGCAGAAAATCCAAGCAGAGATAGAGTGAAAGAAGACGGAGTCAGAGCTACACCATATACCTGTGTCCCGCGCGCTATATGTTCTCGCCGGCAAGAAACATACACACAGGACACTCGGATCCTTCTGCAGGAAAGCTTTAATGCATCTTGAGAGTAGGAGAGCATAAGCTTACCAGAGCGGAGACCCCGGCCCAAGAATCCCTTCCCTTAATAAAGGCTGGCTGGCCGCCTGGGACGTGTCACCCTATGAATGGCTTCAGCTCCTCAGGCCAAATGAGCCACGGGATAGGCAGAGATCAAAAGAATGGAAATTACCCAGCGCCTGCGAAATAATTTACATTCGGTGTCTGCAGGCACCATCATTGTAATGGAGAATGCAGGAACGGCTCCCTACATACCTGGGCAAGCAAGATGTAAGGTAACAATTCACGAACCTCGTGGTAAAATATAGAATAATAGAAATGGGTTAATGTAATTGTGAGAGCTAGTTAGTAATATGTCTGAGTCATTGGTCAAATCTGCTTCACTCATCAACCAATAAAAGTAACACATATCCGGAGCATACAGAATTACATCCCACATCTGTAAGGGTTTTTTTTTTTGTTGTTTTTTTTTTGTTGTTGTTTTTTTTGTTTTTGTTTTTGTTTTTGTTTCTCAAGTTAGGGTTTCTCTGTGTAACAGCCCTTGCTGTCCTGCAACTGGCTCTGTAAACAGGGCTGTCCTTGAATTCACAGGCATCCACCTTCCTCTGCCTCCCTAGTGCTGGGATTAAAGGTATGTACCACAGCTCAGCTAAAATTTAAAGATTTTATTTGGTGTTTTTGTTTGTTTGTTTTTTGATTTATTATTTTTGTTTGTTTTGTTATTTTTTTTTGAGACATGGTTTCTCTGTGTAGGTTTGGAGCCTATCCTGGCACTCACTCTGGAGACCAGGCTAGCCTCAAACTCACAGAGATCCACCTGCCTCTGCCTCCCGAGAGCTGGGATTAAAGGTGTGTGCCACCAACGCCCAGCAAAAATTAAAATCTTACCAATAGACCCCAAGATGTTTCGAAGCCATAGCCATGATTGCCGCCTGCCGTTGTGCCCAGCTGAGTCTTTCCAGAGACAACTAGGTTTCCTAACACTGTTTTTCTTCTTTTTCTACTTTAAAGAAATGCAGCCACATTTTTTTAAGAACATCGTTTTGACTGGAGGAAATTCCCTCTTCCCAGGATTCAGAGATCGCGTTTACTCAGAAGTCCGATGTCTGACGCCAACAGATTATGATGTTTCTGTCGTGCTGCCTGAAAAGTAAGTGTCTGTTTATAAAAAAGCAGAGCCATCTTCTGGGAAGGTGGCTAGGGGATGGGGGTGGGGTGGGGTGAGTGACAAGCTTGGCTCTGTATAGACACTGGCTCATTTATTCCCCAGGGGGGTCCTGGCTTTCTTTCTCCCGAAAATAAAAGTTTAAATATTAAGTGAGTTGGAAGAGATGGCATGTAATGTGCCAACCACGTGTGATGAGCAGTAACTCCCGCTGCTCTTTCCATGTGTGTGTCAGTCCTGGCTCCAAGGATTTTTACAGACAAAGAAGCCAAATTATTGGATTTATCTTAGCCAACCATTATCTACTGAGTTCTATCAAGAATAGAAGTTTAAGGATTGAATTATTAAGATCATCTATATCAATTCATATCTTATGGGAGTTTTAAGTTGTAAATGTTTTGTGAGAACTTTAGAGTTGACTAGAATGTATTTTTATTAAAAATTGTTGTGAAGTCATTTGTGGTGGTCCTTGCCCATAATCCCATTTTTAGGAATTTAGAGACAGAAAAATCAGGAGTTTAATGCCAGGCTCAACTACATAGCAGTTTTGAAGCTGCTGATCCATGTGAGACTCTTTAAAAAAAAAAAAAAAAAACTTAGAGAAATCTGTTTTAATGTCTACTACTGTTTTTATGAAAAAGGGGCAGATAGTATCATTTCACCATAAGCAGTTAAGGTAGAACTCTGGAGCTGTGGTTGTTGGTTTCCCTATCATTCTCCCCAGAGCTTTGCATTGGCCATTGGAGAGAGAAGGCCTTGTGAGCCAGAATCATTATGGTTAGTTCATAGCAGCTACCAGAGCAAAGCCTAGTTATACTGCCTGAATTAGAAGGGCTTTTTTTTTTTATTGTTTTTTGTTGTTGTTGTTGTTGTTGTTGTTTGAGACAGGGGTTCTCTGTGGCTTTGGAGGCTATTTTATTGTTTTAACTGTGTGTGGCGGGAGTTGTGGAAGGGGTGTGCTGCAGGCATGTGTGCAGAGGTCAGAGGACAGCTCTGTGGACTTGGTTTTCTCCTCCTACCTTTATATGGGTCCCAGGGATTCAACTCTGTTTTCAGGCTGAGGTAGAAAGAACTTGTGTGGTGAGCCAGCTACATCACCTGCCCGAAACAATAGTTGTTTGCTTGCTTGTTTGTTTGAGATCATCTCACTGGCTGGTCTGGGACTCACTGTGTAGACCAGGATGGCCTCAAATGCATATCAATTACTCTGACTTTCTCTGCCCCCTGTGTGCCAGGATTCAAAGCCTGCACCATCAGACCATGGCTAACTCAAAGCTTGCCTAGTGGTAGTGGCAGAGTTACAAATAAGATCCTATTCTAATTAAATTGAAAGGTTTGGGGTTTTTTGTTTTTACACTAAAATAGTATTTTTCAAAGTTTGTAGTAGTAAAAAGAAGGCCCTCATCTACATCACTTTATTTTCCTTTGTTTTTGTTTTTTTGAGACCCAATGTGGCTTGTTATATAGTCCCAATAGACCCTAAACTGGCAATCATTATGCCCATGCTTCCAAGTGCTGGGATTACAGATACGCACCACCTGTAACACTTTCATTTCTAGCTATTGGGTCAAAGGAATGGAGAATGGTAACTGCTGGAATAATTTTTGGTCAGCAGTAACATTTATATACTTCTTAACACTGGGTTTTTGTCCTGCATATACACATCTGAGGCCAAGGAATTGACACAAATAGCTTTTGTTCTATAATTCTATGAGTCATTGTGCATTTTTCCTTTCAAAGGAAAATCACAGGCACAAATATAAGGACATAAATAAACCTGTTAATAAAAGGTTGCAGACACAGTAGCTAAGGCAGTTCTCCCCACCTCCTCTGATCTCAGCTGGGGAAGAGGAGGAATAGCAGAGAGTAAGCACAGAGCCCTTAGGGTCTGCAGTCAGCAGAGCCAAAGAGTGCCTGACTTGGTCAGATTTTACCTCCTGTCCAGCTTACCGAGAGACAATCAGCAGTGTCTTATAGCAGCAACAGCACAGACTGAGTGGTGCTGAGACAGTTTCTAGGTCCACACTATAGCACAGCTGCAGGGTAACCTTAGAACCTCCCGTTCCCAGCTCCAAAGTGGGACTGACCCATAGTTGTTGATGGCTTCCTATGAGAATCATCAGGTTCACACATCTTCACTTGGGTTTAGGTCCAAAGTTAGCACATTTTTCCCCCTTACCCATCTCCAGCTTTTGTTTATGTTCAGGGGTTTTCACAAAAGTAGAGGGACCATAAAAGAGGGGACATGGGGGAAATTATCCCACTGCTTTAGTCTGATGAGGAAGAGCTTATCTCTACACTGTAAATGGGATTCCACTAAGTTGAGCAGAAGGAGTCTGCAATTGACATTTGTTCTATAAATGTGTTCATTTGCATCATCTCTATTTCAGCCCTATTACTTACTCCTGGGAAGGTGGAAAATTGATATCTGAAAATGATGACTTTGAAGATATGGTGGTTACAAGAGAAGATTATGAAGAAAATGGACATAGTGTCTGTGAAGAGAAATTTGATATTTAAGAAACATTTTGGAATGAAAGTCTTGGGAAGCTTGATTTCAAAGTTTCCTTGAAAGGAGGTTAAGGACCTTTTCATTGTTAAGAGAAAATCTTCAACTAACATAAATAGTCTGAGTCATGGCTGATGTTCACAGGCTTCTAACGTGGGTTTTACTGTCTAGTGTAATTAAGCCCATGTTTCATTTAGTAGTTAGACTACTATACCAATACTTACACTGTTTCTGAGAATACATTGTCTGTCATGAGAAAGTGAGAGTAAATGTTTAATTTTTCATGCTTGAAAACTCACCAGTCAGTTGTTCCTAAAAGACCTTTGTGTAGTTTTGACTGTGATAGGCTGTGTTTGTAGACTGATAAGATTCTGATCTCTTGGAACTAAGTATTTTATTTAAAGTTTGTTATTCTTATTTGTACATTATAAAGTTGGAAAGATCAATACTAAATATGTATGTATGATGTTTCCTTTTTATTTAGTAAAAGTTTGAGAGTGTAAAGATTTTCATAGTGTCTGTGGTCACCACTGTTCTGAAAAAATGTGCTTTGTTTTAGAAGTCCTTTTATGTAGCCACTGTAAACATAGTAGGATAGGAAGCTTAGTGACAGTACACTTGCCTACCATGCTTAAGGCCCTGGGTGTGAGCTCTGCACTGCCAAAGCAATTGCTTTCCAATTTGAGGAAAGAGCTGTCACTTTCCTGGAGTTAAAACATGCCATCCTGGAGGCAAGTTCCTTAAAACTCAAGAAGAACTAGAGAGGCTCATTAAGACTCAAAAAGCAAACAACTCAAAAATCTCAAAAAGTCCCTAAAACTTAGCAGATTCACAAGGCCTCATCCATCCTAGGATGTATAAATAGTAATGCCTTCTGGGAAGATACTTTCTGACCTGCAAGTCATGTAGAGCACTCCAAAGTATCAGCTTTTTCTGAGTTGTTAGTCATGCTAGAGTGGGCGTTAAGTGACACAGCTACCTTTGAGATATCTATGCTGCTGTATGTATCCCTCACCCATATTCCTGTAATTAATTAACACCAATAAATTCATTGGTTCACTAGTTAGACTTTGGCAATGTTGTTACTTTGATATGTTGTCAGTTCCCTATCTGGGTGACTAGACGTGTGTATGTGCAAATACTGTCATACAACACAGTGACATTAGCAAATGAGTCAGATAGGTTGCTTGGACTACATGTGTGACAGCCATGAACACATGGGGTCTTGTATCTGTCGAGGTCAGAAAGTCAAAAACAGAAAAAGCAGGTGCCCTAACACAAGGATGGATAGCTACATGAAGAGTGAAACTAGATGCTTATCTCTTACCCTGGACAATACTCAACTACAAATGGATCAAGGACCTCAGAATAAGACAGGATCTTGGAATCTGTTACAGGACAAAGTAGGGAATATAGAGGCACAGAAGAGAACTTTCAACCAACCACTGACAAATGGGACCTTGTGTGATTAAAAAGCTTCTGTGTCACATAGGCCACCATCATCTCATGAAGAGGTAGCCTACAGAATGTGGGGGAAAAACAGCCTTTTCAGCTGTATGTCTGACAGTGGGTTAGTGTCTAACATATGCAAAGAACTTTAATTAGAAAAAAAAAAAAACAGGTGGTCTTGGTGTACACCTTTAATCCAGTACTTTGGAGGCAGACGCAGTGGGATCTTTTGAGTTTGAGGCCAGCCTGGTCTACAGAGAGAGTTCCAGGACAGGCAGGGCTACACAAAAAATGCTAATGTTGTAGGATATTTGATCACACTGTGAACCCTGAGAGTGCATTATTTATTGGAAAAACTTGCCTCTAGCTGTGGTGTGGTCCAGCCCTCAGTCCATGAGCTTTTTGTTTACTGTATACAGGATTAAATAAAATCAACCATAGGTCAAGAGGTGGAGCAAGTAACTATTTGACAGAAAGAAGCCATAGAGAGTAAGAGTAAATCAGAAAGATGGATAGACATATAGGAAGTAGTAAGGAGGGACTTTGACTTCGGCAGTCCTCTTTTATTTGGCACAGCTAAAGAGTGCTCTCTTTCGAGGACATCAACTAAGGAGAAAAATCAGCCTGCTGCTTTCTCTGCCTCTCAGAGCTAGCAGGTTTTCACCCCAGCATTTGGCTCCTAAATCTTTATTAGTAAAATAAAAGGATAAAGACTTAGAACATTTGTCTACTTATATGGAGGCGGTTGGGGGGCAGCTGTGGAGGCACAGTCACTACCTAAGGTAATAAGATCAGGTGTAGCTCTGTGTGGCGATTTTCTTTTTTAACCAATAAATTTTTTAGGAGGATTTTTGACCCGTCCCGCGGGTCCAGTCATTCAGGGTTCCGAAGGGGGGCTGCCTGAAAGAGTCATGGTCGAGAGAAAGAAAGGAGACCAAGCGGTTCAAGAAAGGAGAAGAGTCCGTCTATGCAATGTCAAGGTCTCGATTTATTGGGCCTTAGAGTGGGCTTAAATAGTCCTGCAACAATAGAATTGGGGGGGAATAACAGAAGGAATATCTGGTATTTGCTGGGGCTGGAACATTCTTAACAGCCGGAACATCTTGTGGTCTTCCTTGGAACAGCGAACAGAAAAGCCCCAGACCCTTTCTCGGAACAGAAGCAGTTAGCAGTTCCGCTTGGCCAAACCGTGTCTAATTACCGGTTACAGGAGGCTCACAGAGCTGGCTTTAATCAGCAAACTTAAAGGTCATTAAAAGGCTTACAAAGGTGGGCTTTAAGCCGCATAGTTTTGGGCCCATGGCCCCTTACAGATTTTTGTAACCTCTCCTTTGTTAAACCCTATAGAATCATCTGTATAGATTTCTTTGCTCTTAAGTCAAAGCCAGAGGCTTTTGCTGTTTTTTCACCAACTGGCTCTGAGGGCTCAAATCGCCAATCTTTTCTAGTTAAGACCTTAACTGATTGATTGGATGCTCTTTTCAACTATGTTTAAAGCAATTTTGGTAGCCTTTTAACTCTATCCGAAGCAAAAAAAAAAAAAAAAAAAATTAGAGACACAGGTGTTGGACCTTTGATTGTGAAACAACTAGCTATATGAGAACGCTAGTACAGCATGCCAGGCTGTGCCAAGGCCTCACAGGAAGAAGGCTGACATAGACAAGTTCATTAAGATTTGTTTAGATATTGGGACCTGCTTATACTCAGGGATTAGTGATGGCAGCTGCCTTGCAGGAACTTCAGTTAAAATATGTTATGTCTACAGAGAGAGCAAGGAATAAGGAGGAAGAAAGGCACAGAGCCTTCTAGAGATTGCTTTGGATGTGGCCAGGAAGGGCACCAGGTCAGACAGAGTCCCAACAGAAGAGGAAATAGGGAATCATGCTTATTATGCCTGAGATTCAGGACAGAAAGGCAGCTACAGATCATCTACAGTGGGCCAGAGGGCAAAAGGCAAGGATGGCCAAGGCCAAAACCTAAGAAACTTGCAGCCTCAAGAGCTGCTACCATGGCGGACACCCAATCTAATGTACCAAAAAGAAAATACTATTGATACAGCTAATCAAAAACTGTTTTAAGACCTTGTGGGAAAAGAAAGGCAACATAGAAAAATTTGGATTTGTTCAAATTTTGGATGCTCATAATTCAAGGATTGGCTATAACTGCTATGTTACAAGAGATTTCAATTAAAGAAGTTTCATTTCAACAAACTAATCATAACCTAAGCAAAACGAGAAATGAGAGATGTGTGCATGTTCCTCGTGTATGGTGTGGCCACACCGGTATGTATGGAATGTGATTGTGAATGTCTGAATGTTGACAAAAAACAAACAAAAAAAAAGCTTGAATTGCTTTGGACATGATTAAAAGGATACTTGAATTGCTTCAGATACCTAAACAAATCTTAATGAACTTGTCTATGTCAGCCTTCTTCCTGTGAGGCCTTGGCACAGTCTGGCATGCTGTACTAGCGTTCTCATATAGCTAGTTGTTTCACAATCAAAGGTCCAACACCTGTGTCTCTAATTTTTTTTTTTTTTTTTTTGCTTCGGATAGAGTTAAAAAGCTACCAAAATTGCTTTAAACATAGTTGAAAAGAGCATCCAATCAACCAGTCAAGGTCTTAACTAGAAAAGATTGGCGATTTGAGCCCTCAGAGATAGTCGGTGAAAAAATAGCAAAAGCCTATGGCTTTGATTTAAGAGCAAAAGAAATCTATACAGATGATTCTATAGGGTTTAACAAAGGAGAGGTTACAAAAATCCCCCCAAAAATTTTATTGGTTTAAAATGGAGGTGAAGACTCTCCATCCTGATACTTAGCAACTCTCTCTTTATACTCATCCCAATCACTCTGCCCTGTATTTTCTTTTTTATCTAGCCACTCCTCAGTAGGTCTCTGGTCTCTATTACATTGCTAACCAGTTCAGGGGCAGATATTTCCTGCTGTCCTGCATGTATGCAGTCACACCTTCATTTCCCCAAGCCCCGGGGCAGCTCTGATATAGTAGAGGGAAGGATCCTTTTAAACTTTTAAACTCTAAAATTTTCTGTATTTGCTTTTTGCTTTACTTCAGCTCTCTTGACTATTAAAATATACTTAAGTAAATATGTAATCATCTGACTAATAATTCTCCATCTCATATCTTTACATAATTTTTATTCTCAAGGTTAACTCACTTCTCTATATCATCTGGCTAATATTTCTGGTCATTACCATTTATAACCAACCCCATTTTAATAAAAATATACATTTATAAACAATATGTGGGAATGTGGGCATCGTTCTTTCCAAACTACTTCCTGCTGATTAGGGGCGCTGAAATGCCATGGGGATCCTAAGAAAACCCAGAAATCAGCCAGGCGTTGGTGGTGCACGCCTTTAATCCCAGCACTCGGGAGGCAGAGGCAGGCAGATCTCTGTGAGTTCGAGGCCAGCTGGTCTCCAGAGCGAGTGCCAGGATAGACTCCAAAGCTGTACAAAGAAACCCTGTCTCGAAACCCAGAAATCCTGATTGTAGTGGTCTGTGACTGCATCATCCCAGGTGTCTTCAATGTTGGATCACCTGGCTATTGCTTCAGGGAGTCTTGCTTCATCAAACCATGTTAGTCCAAAAGGAATCTACAGCTTTTCATTTTCTGTGGAAACAAAAGCAGAAATTCTTTTCCCAAGTAACCTGCCCTTATATTTAAATCTAGAAGTCAAAGCCTTTTTAAAATATATAAGTTGGATTAATTCAGCAGCATTTATAATCAAATATCTGTTAGCAGCTTTTGCTGTTTCCTTAGCAATTGAACAATTCAAAGACAGCACAATAGCATACAGTATCCAGACTCTCTGTGTATTTTTTACTTTTCATTTTCTCTTTAAAACTTTACTTTTCATTTTCTTTTTAAACTCTGTATTTGTTACATTTTATTTTCTTTTTCAAACTTTACTTTTTATTTTCTATTTTTCTATTATTTTTACTTTCCATAACAATTCCACTAACTGCAGTTTTCTTTTTGAGACAGCGCTTTCTGTATTTCCAACCCAACTCTCTCAGGAGTTGAGGCACCCTTCCAGTACCTTCCAGCTCTCTCAAGAGCCAAGATACCCACTTTCCAATACCTTTACCAATTCACCCTCATACACCTTACTTACTGGCCAGCCTTCAGAGGGCAATCTCTCAGGGTCCCCTTTCTGTTTCAAGGCCAATGTGGACATTGTCCAAAAAGGTTAGACACACAGGTGTCGATCCTTTGTGAAACAGCTGGATTATGATAATGCTGGTACTGCATGCCGGGCCTCACTAAGGCCTCACAGGAAGAGGGCTGACGTGGGGGAGTTCATTAAGATGTGTTCAGATATGGACCTAGTTTACACTCAGGGATTAGTGATGGCGGCTCCCTTACAGGAACTTCAGTTAAAAACATGTTATTCCCAAAGAGAAAACAAGAAATAAGGAGGAAGAAAGACACAGAGCCCTCTAGAGGTTACTTTGGATGTGGTCAATAAGGGCACATTTTCAGACAACATCCCAACAGAGAAGAAAATTGGAAGGCCAGGGCTAAAAGGCTTCCAGCCTTGGGAACTGCCACTGTAGCTGGTGCCCAGTCAAATGCATAGAAAATGCTT